CCAATCGTTATTTTACATCATTAACGAAGCCTTTAGTTTTAGATTTTATATCATAACACGGTCTACACGTACGTGTTTATAGCCTCCCCTTTACATTTTTAAAAAATAACTAAAAAAGGACAGGACAAACTCAAATGTAAAACTCTGGGTCCGCCTATGAATGTATTTGCATGATCAATAACTAATAAAGGCTTAAATAAATTCACAAATTATACAACATACCTTATTGAATATAAAACAAGCATAATATGTATAAACTATAAAGTAATGGTTTTTCTAAACTAACAATTTTTGATATCTCTGTATATTTATTATATCACCATAACACAGAATTGATTGAGTTATAAATATGACCATTGATTATGGATAGTACTATCCATAATCTATGATATGACATATTTCACACAAAAAATATAATTATATCTATTTTCTAAATTTATAGTATTATTGGGTTTTCATATTGTGTCGGTTCTCAGTTGAATTATAAGTGATAGGACCGTATACCATGAATCAGTAATTAGTGATATATTATGTAACCATGATGGTAAATTATAATATGTTATTTTTATACTTCATAGCTGATACAGCGCTGCTGCAGGCTAGTCGCTCACTGATACACAGTGTTCTGGTATTCAAGAGTTATTATCGATTATGACCGTTATGGGTATTGATAAATTGAGATATCAATCCGTTTTGACTTCTGGTTTTTACAGTTGGGTTTGATAAATTGTACAGTAGTAGTAAATTGAACGAATATTTAAACGGTAATAAGTCGCAAACGGATTACTGAAATTAAATTCTGTAAACGTTAAAATTATTTTATTAAATATTTATATATAATTTATATAAAATTATTAAGTATTTTCATAAATTTTCGTTATAGAAAATAGGTATTGCCATTTGAAAATCAAAAGTTGATAGTGTTTTATCAAATAAGGGAGGAAGTTAAAATTATTAAAATTGTAACACAGTGTAAAATAGTAAAACCTAGAATGTTTAAAAAAAAAATTATTTTTAAATTCCTAACACTTCCCGAGATATTAACTGGTTTACGATAAAAAAATCACTCTGTATATACATCGATAATTGATAGAACTGCAGATAAACAAGGGGTTCTCAAACGCTATCACAATAATATAAGTAGAAATAGATTTGGCGGAAACGATGACCACCCCAATTTGTAACCAAACAATCTCCGAGAAAACTCAATTTTCATTTCGGAGAATTAACATTTTATTAACTTACTATAGCATTTTTTAAATATATATTTATTTATTATATATAATTATTTTAAAACACAAACCAATTGTTAATATTACCATTATTGTTCGCAATACTGACAATGGATTTAAAGACATACATGATATTCTAATTAATTACATTTTATTCAAAACCTATGATTGTGGACATTGTGGTGGATCAGTTTCATCAACTAAAATACTAATAGATCACATTTTCATCGAAATAGATGGGAGGTCTGCGTTTGGACAAATTGCCTTTTTACTAGGTATGGGCCGATACTACTTTTTACCGATAACCGATATACCGATATATACAACCGATATAAAACCGATACCCGATATTTTAATCACAAGTAAAAACTAAATTGATTTTTAATACATTACATAAAAAAATCAACTTTTTTGGCAAAATCATGAACCAATACTAAAATATTAAAATACTAAAATACTAAAATACTAAAATACTAAAATTAATCCGATACCACAAACCGATAAAACCGATACCCGATATTATAATCACAAGTAGTTTTTGCGGTATCAGTTCAAATATCGGTTTTGAAAATAAACCGATACCGATATTTCCGATACCACCAATATCGGCCGATACCAAGTATCGGCTCTAGGATCGGTCCACCCCTACTTTTTACCCGCATAATAAAAATAATGCGTTTGAGCGAGTTTATTATAATGTGTCTGAGCAAGACAAAGATCAGGGGGTGATCACAAAACGGTAGCAACGAAATCAGCGGCCATTTTAATTAGGGAACTTTTTTTATTAAATTATAATCAGTGATAACTGATATCCGTTATTAATTGTAATTTCAATTATGGTAATTGTTCAATATGTTCAATATGTGATCTACCAAACAGTGTGAAACATGGTGACCGACTGGGTACCAAGAAATTTTTACTTGTGGATCATTTTTTTGATAGTATGTCTACCATAATACAGGCCCATGTGCAAGATTTCAGAATGGAAAGAGTTTAAAAAAAAAATGTATAAAATAAATTCATCGATAATTAAATAGTATTATACGGGTATTTATATAATTTTTTTAAGTATATTAAAAACGTTTATATCGATATAATACTATAAAATGCAAATCATTGTTGTAGTAAATTTACAAATACAATTGTAATACATTTACAAAAACACAATTTATATTTTTTTGGTAATGATGGGAGGTTGGGGGTTGACCTATGGTCATGCCATAGTATAAGATTTATAAGCCCCTCAAATCTCAACTTCTTATTACACCTAATACCTTGAAAAATAATACTACTATTAGTAACATTTGAAAATACGCAGTAGCTTATAAAGAGTATTACTACCGTTTCATGATGGAATAAAATGTTACTAACTTCCTACTGTACCTCAAATAAAATGGCTGACTAATTTCATTATTGTCCTATGTTGCCCATGTAATTTTTTATCAGTGTCCATTCTGTTTTATTCTATGCAAAGATAAAATTATAAAGATTAAGATAAAAATATTATATGGGGAATTTTATATCAACCTGAATATAGTACAGTCTTATTGCAGGTCGACAACTAGTATAGGTAACTCTATCAATTTTCAAATATCAATTTGCTTGAATTTTGAAAACGTGAAGTTTTACTATAGCAGAAGCGCACACAGGAATTTTTTATGGTGGAGGGGTCCAACATTTTTATTTTATCTGTTCACTAATTATAATTATAGTTTAACTCATTACCAACAAATTACTGTTAATAGAGCAGTGTTTCTCAACCGGTGTATCGCCGGATAAGTCCAAATGAAGTACTAATATTAAATGACACAAAATGTACAAAAATTATTGGCACTTATTACAAAAATTAAAAGGTATTAAATATAATTTCTATGATAAATAAAAATAGATTATCAGCTATTGACATTAAATCAATTTTATCATTATCGTAATTCTAATTGATAAACGTTGGCTTTGAGATTCTAAAAAACTACAATCAAATCAATTTGTGAAATCAGTGAACATTTTAGATAAGGCACAAGAAGCTAGTTTTAGTATTGCCCAATTGATAGCTCAAAAAAAAAATCTTATTTAATTGCCGAGAATCTTATTAATCGATAACTTTTCATCGTTGGAATTTTAAAATGTTTGATTGGGTGAGGAATCCATTTAATCCTAGTTTAGAAACCTCACATATTTTATTAAAAGGGAAAGAATATTTTGCAGAATTAATAAACAATCACACTGTTCAAATGAAGTTTAATGAGCTCGAGCTAGACGAATTTTGAATTTACACAGAAAAAGAGTATCTGAGTTTAACAAAATTGGTACTTTCCGTGTTATTACCATTTTCAAAGTCATATTTGTGCGAGATAGCTTTTTCTGCATTAAACGAAATTAAAAACAAAAAAGGGAAAGATTAATTAATGTCGAAGAAAAGTTAAGAGTAGCCTTGTCGAAGATTTAACCACGTATTGATACATTGTGTGAGAAATATCAGTCACAAATTTCTCATTAAAATGCTGTTTTATGTCATATTTTCTTCGTTATTTTTAAGTTTACATTATCAATTAGTTATAAATATTAAATATTACCCATGATTCCTATTTTTATTATTATAAACAAAGTATGAAATATTTTAAGAGTGTGTCGCTATAATACAAAGGTTAAGAAACTCTGTACTAGAGTATGGTTTATACATTATAGTTAGGTATATTATATAATCTATAAACTTTGAATATTGATGATAATAGGAAATTAAAATACACTATATACTATTATTATACTATTTACTATTAAATCGTTGAGTATGTAGAAATATCAATGGGGGGTCCAGACTCTAAAACCCCCCTTGAGTACGCCCATGTACTATAGTGTTAGTTAATATTATGGGCGTACACCGTTTGGGCGAATCGTCTCAAAATATAGTCTATTTGTGCGAATAAATATATACCGTTTGGGCGAAGATTGTTTAACTAAAAATACCGTTTGGATGGTATAAAAATGGTTATAATATACACTCAATAATAAATTATACAAAATTTTATAAAATATAAATAATTAACAATAAGTTATATGTAATTAAAAAAAAATATTGATATGAATATTGATAATATTATTATATATATTATATAACTATATAAGTAAGTAATCTACAGTCAAAAAATTATAAATACAATTAGTATATTTTAAAGTAATATATTAATCAATATTGGCTTTGTATGAAAATGCTCATAATATACATTTAACAATTAATTGAAAGAAATCATATAAAATATAAATAATTAATTATAAGTTCTTTTTAAAAAAAATATTAATATGGATATTAATAATATTATTATTTATAAGTAGGAAATAATCTACAGTAAAAAAATTAAAATAATAAAATAAAATTACAGATAATATAATTATTAGTAGTTTTTAAAGCAATCTATTGGCCTGATATTTTAAACCTAAACATTTTATGTATTCTAAATGGTTTTTATCCTCTCTTTTATATTTATTCCGTGTTTCTTGTATAAACTCTTTATTTTTATATTAGCAATAATATTATCCGTATCTGTCATCAGATTTTAACCTCGCACAGGTAAAAATAATTTCACTCGCCCAAACGGACTATTATTTTTTTCATCAAAATTATTACCTTCGTCCAAATGTCCACCACTCAATATTATGGATATTAAAATTGATTATATTTTTAATAAAAAACGAAATAAATGATGTATTTCAATTGAAAATTATATTTTTAGTAAATCTAACCATTTGAAAAACGGTTCTTTTCGTTTTCAGTGTACTAAGTGTTTTAGTAAATTTTAACAAAATGGATTAATAAGTACTTTAGCATCCCAGGATATTAAAAAAAAGGTCACCCAAACACATTGCAATTTTTGAAAATTCGGCTAAACGCATTACGTATGAAATACATATGTATCAGGCAGATCGTAAGTTTTGTGTTTCAGAATTTCCATCAGAGATTAAGATTAATAATATTAAGTAAGTATACATAATACATATTATGTAGAACAGTTAATTACTGCAAACCTACTACGCACACCACTAATCAAAATATATAATTTTTTTTATTATCTAGCTTCATATTTTTTGGTTTTATTGCGTATTATTCGGATCACTACGTTTCACGCATCAAAAGGTCAATCAACATTTGAGAAACACAATGATTTGTAAAAAATAATCAGAAGATTTCAATCAGATACTATGCTAGTAAGGCCGCATTTAGTTGAGTACATAAAAAATTAATTTTAAAGATTTGTATAAAGATTTATATTTTTCTTACACAGTTCTAATAATTGTTTTTATTTTAATTTACATTTCACCTTATTGCTTTTAAATAAAACTGTAACATTTAAATAAATTAAATTGGAGAACGTGACGAAACACCATGCAAGGTTCAAACTCAAGTTTTTCCTTTAAGGAAAATTTTAATTTTGTCAGGTAAAAGAAAATTCTTATGGGTCATTTGCAAATGATAATTTGGAGAATTTCATTATTGCTACAAGTATAGGTAACTACTATAAAATCCATTTTAAAAGAATTATAATTTATCAATCAAGGCAAATTAAAAATGTTTATATTTATATTTACGTGTCAAATATTGTTAATAAAATGTTAGACCTCCGAAATAAAAAAAAGAATTTTCTCGGAAACTGTTTGATTACAAATTGTTTAATTTGGGTTACAATTAGTTACAACAGGCACAAAAATAATTGTGGTCGATAAAATAAAATGCGATTATTAGTGGGTTTGAATCTCAGAAAATTGTTAAGTATTTTGAAATGTTGTATCCGTTTTTCTCAATTATTCAGAAAACTGTTGAGAAATACAATCAATGACCACCCAAAAGTATTAACTAGAACCCAATTCCCATCCTTTATGTTTTATTTGGTAATGATCTGAGAACTCCTTCTGGTCGAAATCAGGCTCAAATAAAAATAAAAAAAACACATATCTTAAAAATTGATTTTTAATTAAATTAATTAATTTTAATTAATAAATAATAATTTTATTTAATTAAATATTAAAAAATATATTTAATTAGGTGTCTACATTTATTATTTTAATATATATTTTTCTATAACAACAAGAACAAATCAAAATTTAATTAACTCTTTTTAATAAAATAAATTGCCAACTAGAGAAACACTTCTTAAAATATAGGAACATAGAATATCATAACAATGATACAATTAAACAAAATAAAGAAATATTAAGTTTATGTGAACTAATATAGGGTAGAAATGGAAATCAGATCAGTACCAGCAGGGGCGGAACTAGGAGGTGGAAGATGGGGATTCATCCCCGTGCGTAAAATTGTAGAGGGTCTAATTTTTGTAATTATTAACAACTAATTTGATATTTTTAACTTTGTTAGACACTGATATTAGGTTAAAACTGAATAAGTATGATTGTATATTAATTATTAGAAAACAATTCTCTAGAAGAAAATTATTATTATTATTATTATTATTACTATTATTATTTGATTATTGATCTATGATAGGGCGTAATTTTAATATTTCCCCAGATGTAAAAATTCCTAGATCCACCTCTGAGTACGAGTATACCCGTATCATAATGCGAATATACTCAGGACAACAAACAGGAAAAACCAGAGAAGGTATGATATTAAACAGTAATCGATCAAGCCATAATTTCTGAAAGATTAATAATGGTGAAGTTAATACCCAAATGATACGCCAATAATACAAGTATAAATGCTCACATCAAATTACGACATTGGAAGATTTGTAAAAGTTTACGAAGATATAGAACTTATAAAACTAACAAAACAAAAAGATAATTTCATCATAATGGGTGACTGGAAATCTCTCATTGGCTATGGATCAGATGAAAAAAAGTTGAAAATTAGAAATTAGAAAAAAGAACAAAAGAGAGAATCAACTACTGGAGTTTTGTATACAACCTAAGTCGATCATATCTTTCACCTTATTCGATAACAATAAAAGAAGGCAGTATACTTGGAAGATGCCTGGAGACATTGGAAGATACCAAATAATTTTTCTGGTTAGAATTGATTCAAAAATAAAATAAATTATGCAAATCATACCCAGATACAAACATTAATAGTATCCATAATCTTGTTATGATGAAATATGCCCTCAAATTTAAGAAAATAAAGAAATCGAAAACACTATACTCGTAAATGGAACTTAAAAAAAATTAAAATAACCAGAAATAGCAAAAAAAAATATCGAAATTAATATGACAAACAAATAAACTACCAAATGAACCTCAAACTTGAAAATAATTAAATGTCTGTATAAAATCGATAGAAGTAGATAAAGTAATCTATTATCATAGCAGCGGAAAATGTTCTATAGAAAAAACAAGATCCCAAAAAGAAATAGATAATGCAAGAAATAATCAACGATATACCAAATAAAGGTCTCTTAAAAATAAAATTGATCCAGATAGTATAAGAAAATATTGAAAACTAAAAAATATGATAATTAGAGAAGTAGTACATGCAAAAAAATAATGAATTGAATCACGATGTCAAAAAGTAGAGACCACGATGAAGAATAATCAATAAGATCAGGTGTGTACACAATAATATACTGGAAAGGTAGATTATACATTTTTATACTTATATAATCTATAAACCATTTTTACTCTATAAAAAAATATTTAATAATTTTCCTGAATTTCGGGAATGGGTGAACCCCTAAAACCCCCATTGTGTATACGCTTATACAGGATAAAGCTAAAAAATAATAGAAGAGATAAATTAAATAGAGGTGCGTTACCCCAGCACCCGCACTTTCGAAAACATGAATTGTAATCAAGCAGTATTATGTACTTTATTTTGTAAAATTTTGTACAACCAAAATTAAATTTTGTACAACCCCCGAACCTCCCCGAAATTCAATTTCATTTTATGGGTGCTGGGGTAACGTTACACCAACACCCGGATCAACTAATTTTCTCAAATTTCAACTTTAAACCCTACAGTATTATGTACTTTATTTTGTACAATTTTGTACAACCAAAATTAAATTTTGTACAACCCCCGAACCTCCCCGAAATTCAATTTCATCTTATGGGTGTTATCGCGTATCTTCTATCAATATTGTATCTAAGATACTTTTATCGAATATACAGCACTTCCTTTTAGGTAGAAATAGTTGCTGTTGATTAACTTATATAATTCAAAAAGAATCAACAGAATATATTAGGTAAGTTCGCAGATATCAAGATTTAAAATTATGTCAATTATATTAAGTAGGTGCATTATTTTAATAACAGTTAAATTAATCATTTATATATTTATATATTAATATCATATTACATTTTTACATTTTTTAATGAATGATTTATTTTCTGATAAGAATAACAAAAAACAATCGAAGAGTATCTACATTAAATGCAGATACATCGTTACATGTATATGTTTTGTTTTTACTAAATACAGTTGACATAAGAATGTCAACGCCGATTAGGTATTAGATACTAGGATTATGCTGTAGGTAACTTTTTTAACACATGTAAAAAATAAATAAGGTTCAAAAACCGTATGTTAAATATTTTTTTGAATAAACATTTTGTTTTAATTTAAATTACAGAATCGTCATTTATAACACTTTTAGTAATTAGTAATAAAAAACGGTATAGTGAAATACAAAGCGTACTCACGCGTTTCAAGCTGCTCGATGTGTCCATAAAATACTTAAAAAATATGTATATTAATATAAAATAATATAAATATGTTTACGAAGAGTAATTTTAGCTAACTAAAATTATAAATACCGATAATTCCCACCTACTGACATCGACGAACAAACTATTAACCAATATCAGTTATATTTATATAATTTATAATGAGTTATTTTTATCGTCAATATAATTATTATACAACTAGCTATAAGTAATGTTACTTTTTTACTCATTTTTCTCAAAACTACTCCATTGTTGCTTACTACCTTTTGGCTTAGGAGGTCAGTATACATGTCAATAAACATCGTTTTATATTTGTTATGCCGTAGATATACCATAAAAGTTTTTATTATTTTAATATTGTCTGACTAATTTCTTGTCATCATCACAGTAGGAGTTGTAATTTGATATTGTTATCTTAATGTTAAGAATAAAAATATAATATTGCATTTCTAAAAATAGTCTAATACAATTTGATTTTAGGTTGTACAATAATAATTACTATTTCTAACCAATGAACAATGATACTAAGTAGTTGGTACGTCGTACGTGGGCATTATGCTACATTGCTACTTTCAACATTGTCGACTAATTCGTCTATTCATGATATCGCGCTTCTAAGCATTACTACAACAAAATGTATCGAATATTTTGACTCATAGATTAATTTTATTTTAGTAGTTAACTATAATTTTGTCTATAATAATATATATTTGGTTTTAATATGAACTTGAATGTACTTATCGCCTAATGTCTTAATGTACTTCTGTTTTTTCAAAATTGTGATCATTTAAATAAATTAAATTTATGTCGTGTATTAAGTATAATTTCCTTGAATTTATTTTGTTTTATATTAAAATATAATTAAAACTTTTGTGTATTACTCTAATAAGTGATGGCAAACGATAATAAAGAAAGAAAAACAAATAATTTAAATGAAAATATTAATGATGAAATTTTAAATTTGAAAGATCAAATTACTTTGGATGGCTATAGTATTATTGTATTAGTATAGGTATCTAAATAATATAAATAATGCAATGTATGATTCGACATACCTACAGCTTTAATACATTCAAGTACCTATTCAATTATTTTAAATGTGTAGGATCTACATTTTAAATTTATCAATTACCTATAATAGGTACCTACTACCTACTACAATTAATTAAATTGACTGTATATAAACAAACAAAAGATTTCTTCTTTTAGAAAATAGTCTAAAAATAGTCAATATAAGACTTATAAAAATAAAAATATAAAATTAAATAGAGTTGTATCTATGATAATTTTGCCTTTTATTAGGTATAATTTGTAATTTCCAAAAAATATAATATGTTTATTTTAGATTTAAAATTTATTTTATGCAAATTTGATCAACAATATTATTGTTAACACATTGATGGACATTCTGAATTTTGGTTTTTTTCTTAAGAACCTTCAGAAACGCAATTAAATATTAATGCTATAGCAATAGAGATTTGACCACTGCAATAGCAGTACTGTCCACCTACATGGTAATATCATAATAATCACACATTTTGTC